TTCAGTTAAAATGCAGAGTAATTCCTTGTCTTTTTTATTTATTTATTTGAATTATATGCACCCTTCCCCCACAAAGTATCAGGGTGGCTTACAATAAAAGACCAACTAACTTATAAAGACAGAAGAAAATAAAATATAAGGTATATAACAAGACAGACTACCCAAACAGTACCCTAACTTGACATTGCTTGCTAAGTAAACACTTGCCCAAATGGAAAGGTCTTGCAGCACTTCTAGAAGCCAAGCCTAGGTTGTATCAGACCAGCAATGGGGAGAGGAGTTCCAATGCAGAGGGGCTACTACAGAAGAACCTCCCATGTGGTTTTTACCAAGTGAACTTGGTGCACAGTTGGCACGTGCAGGAGGTTGTAGTTGATGACCTTAAGAACTGTGATCAACATAGGCAAGAAGGTGGCCCCTTAGTTATGTAGGGCCCAGACTGTTTAGGGCCTTATAGGTCAATATCGGTCCTCTGAATTGTTCCTGGAAAACAGTTGGGAGCCATGGCAGGCCCTGGCAACCCTCTCCCATAAGAAGGCATGTTGCTGCACTCTGCAAAGAAAGTCTCAGCCTTCTTAGCAAATGGAATTGGTGAAAGGCACTTCTCTGCAACCTGAGAATCCAGGTGCAGCAAATGATCCAGGAGCACCCCAAGTCTGCAAATCTGAGTGATAAGAGGAGACTGAACCCCATCAATGACATCCTTATTTTCCCTTCCCCCAAAGTCCTGGGATCTGCCCACCACCAGTCACTTCTTCCTTGTCTGTATTCAGCTTCAACTGATTCACCAGCATTCAGTCCCCAGCTGAAGCCAGGACCTGGGTTGGATGAAGGATGGGGAGGGAGAGAGATTCTCCCCCCCACTGATGGTATCTTATTCCAAATGTCCATCCTTGCCCAGCAGCCTCATATGTATTGAAGAAAAGGGGCAACAAGATGAAACCGTGGGGGATCAACCTGAAGAAGGGTACTTTGTTCCCTAAAGCTTGTCCAAAATCTCTGAACTATATAGCTGGCTCAATAATAGATCTCTCAAAAAACCCTTGTCTTTTACAAGTTTCCTGGACCATCATGTCAGCAACTCCAATCCTGCTTAGAACAGATAAATACTTGAGGACTGATTTACCATCCCGGAGATCTTGTACTGTTCCCTTTGAAATAACAAACAAAATACCTATCTGTTTCAGAGAAAGCAGAAGTACTGATACGACAGAATCTGGATACAGTCGAAGGCTACGATTGCTACTATTAAGGAAGATCTTATGTCAGGCGACTCAGTAGTTTCTAAAATTAGCCAAAGATTCCCAGTGTAGTATAGGTCACCTAGTCAACATTCCTACCCAGGTCACAACTGTTCTAAAATTTTACCCATTGTGCAACTTTAAAATACTAAGGAATGGGCTTCCAACATTTTCATTCAATCAAGCAAAATATCCCAGCATCTAATGAATTACTTTTAGAAAGGTCGCTGATGCCATCACTAATGAAATTAAATGTAATACTAGTGGCTTAAACCTATTGTAGGCCTTTCAGCAGCTATTAAACATTGCCTTATTGTAGCAATCTTCATTTGTTTTTGATTCTTGATTAATGGCATAGCCTGGTTTGCAGTTACATCAACAGCTTTAAAACTGAATAGGGATGCAGCCCAGTATGCAATTTGAAGTGCAGTTGGTGTGTTTTGCTTGGGAGAGGCACTTAATCTCATTGTTCAACTATCAGGTCCGTTTTCCTTGTTCTGTATGTATACCTTTGCTGTTTTGCTAGTGAATTAGGCAAGGAACCAGGTTTCTTAGGAACATCATCTAAGTTCTTGCATCTAAGCCATGTCAAATCTTGTAGAGTCATTCTACAAAGGAATGCATCTTGCATAAAGTCTCTTCTGTCCATCCCCACAGGCTACTGCCATATTTGCATCACAGTTGATACAAATTCTATTCCTTAACCAGGGGTATAGGTTGTAGCCATGTTGGTCTAAGGACATAGGCATAGGGCCTTGTCTGCCTATTCCATAACCAATGCAATACTTCCCTTCCCATCACGATCAAGAGTGTTGATACAGGCATCTTTTTAAGCCTTTTGCTTGGGTCATATTGTGTTGTTTTTTTGAAAACATACCTATATGCTCCCTCCCATGCTGCTGTCCCCACACTTGACAGGTTTCCTTTAGTTCTGCAATTGATTAACTCATTTTTAAACCACCCTTAAAAACCATATCCTGTGTCATGCTACCAAAAATTATCGGCTGCTGGTATGCCAAGATATTTGCATCGCTTTCACAGTCATAGATTCATAGATGTTAGGGTCGGAAGGGACCTCAATAGATCATCGAGTCCAACCGCCTGCATAGGCAGGAAAGAGAGCTGGGTCTAGATGACCCCAGCTAGATACTCATCTAACCTCCTCTTGAAGACCCCCAGGGTAGGGGAGAGCACCACCTCCCCTGGGAGCCCGTTCCAAACCCTGGCCACTCGAACTGTGAAGAAGTTCTTCCTAATGTCCAGTCTAAATCTGCTCTCTGCTAGCTTGTGGCCATTATTTCTTGTAAGTCCTTAATACTGTTTCTCATTTTCCTTTTATTCTGCCTAGGTGCCTATATTCATTTGCTCTCTCACTTAGATTTTAAGTTCTTGTTTTTGGTTTTCGTTTTTTTTTTATTTTTTAACATATATTCTGTAAGTCGTGTGTACCTTCGTTCTATGTTAGTGCAACAACAAGCACAATATGTTCAGGTTTATGACTAGGTCTTCTAGGTACTACAAAAATAGCAGTACAAAGTGACCTGAGGAAGCATCATGTGTGTTAATACCACTGACTTCATTTAAAAAAAAATTCTAGATAGTGTTGTGTCCAAGTAGACATTAAATGATATTGGAAACTTTAGAGGTTCTTTTTTTTCCCCAGCCAAAAAAAAAATAGGGAAAGTCAGCACAAATCTTTAATATGTGGGTGTTAAAAATATTATATAAGCTCACTGAGAAAAGGGTTCATCCTGTTCATTAGAATCAAAATCTCTTATTTTTTTTCAATTAATTATTTTACAAAAATTAAGGGGGTTCTTTTTTTTTAATTGATAGCCAAGATGTGTATGTTCTCCACTTCCTCTTCTCTCCTGAGGAGAAAAACCAAAATAAAAATTCCTTTCAAATTGAAACTTTTTTTTTAAATTGAAACTTCACATTTTTCTGCCAAGCCCCCTTACTAAAAAACAATATAATTATGTTCAGCAGTCTGGGCAAAGGAGAAGAAATGCATCAATTTTTTTTTCTTAAAAATAGTTTTCTTTAAAAAAATTAAAAACTCTTTAAAATGTTCCAATTTAAATCCTGACAAATTCGAGACAAAACCTCCACAATATCTTTCCCCTCTTTTTCACCAGATGTATAACACAATCTTATGGATTACAGGATTTAAAAATTTTCAACAAAGATCACAACTATTGATAATAATGAAAATAATTAATATGTCCACTTTCCACTACAGTTTGGAGCTTTCTGAATGATTGTTTCCATAACCAAAATGAGTGACATAGTCTGCTGAAATGTGTACTGAATTTGAGGGGATAATAAAAAGTACAGGTTCTATATGATCTTTACAAAGACATGCAATGCTTATAAATTGAACTGAAAGATGTTTAAGGGAGTTCCTGACATTACTGGCTGCTGATGCCGCTCTTGGAGTCTGTGAAAACCTGCCTTGATCTATTTAACAATCAAAAACAAGAAGGATACAGACAAAACTAAAAACATTTTCTGAAAAAGCATTTAAACATGAGTGACATCAACCATAAGAGACTGAAATATGGTGGGTGGGTAGACCTTAAGAGACAAGGAATGCATAGCAGTTAGTGTCAGATTCGTACCCCAAATCTGGTTGTGTAAGAGGCTTTCGCAACTTGTGTTTCTTGCACCAGAATATCTAAAATAACATTAACAACAGTAGTAGTAGTAATGGTCAGAAATTCCATACATAAATTAATGGGAGCTTGGTATTCATATCTGGCAACTGCAGCTTATGAGTATCTTTTAATACAAAGACAGATGTTGAAAAATAAGTTCTATATGACTTGAAATTTTATTCCTTGGACATTAAAACTGCATCCAAAGTAACAGGCTTATAAATAAATTACCAAGTAGTAAGAGTATATCAGTTGAGTAACTTAGATACATTGTTTACAAGACTTGTGGAGTTGTTTTTTGTTTTTGAGGGGTACAAAGTCACCAAGATTTATTTAGCTTAGTTCTGATATTTTTCCTTTTCAGTTCTTTCTTCAGTTCCTATATATTATATCCTCACAAACTGTATCTCCAGTTTAACAATTTATGAGTTTCTGCAAGGTTCTCCCATTTCCAGATCATTTGTGTTCATACCTAATAATCCTTTGTGTGTGAAATGCGTAAGGAGGAATTGTGTTCACTAGGTAGAGTGCGAGTCCTCACTATAAGTACTGTACCTTAAAATTGACAGAAAGTTGGAGAGTTGTAATTAGATTTGTGTCCTCTTAATGCTTTAATAAGAAAGTTGAGTTTTAAATTGTGGTGAGTTGCTAAATGTGAAAATGTATGTGCTGTAGCTTTTGCCTGAAACATGAACTTGATATTACTTATCTTTCCTGTTTTATGGAAATAGATCTTGGAAAAATTAAATGCTTTGGGAGCAATTCATACTACAATAAGAGATTGGTTTCCTCCTGCTTTATTTTTGTTAGCTGTAAACTTACTATTTCTCAATCAATTACAGAATTTTTGGGGGAAAATACCAATCTAGATGAGACCTGAAAAATCTCAATGGAAAAAAATTCCCCAGAATTTCATGTCATCCTTAAAAATCACAAGGGAGAACAGGGAACAATCTATTTCTTAGCACTACTAATTGCTTACACCAGAAAACTGTGCCTCCTGAAAATACCTTGCCTGCTCAAAAATAGAAGAGGGACTGAAATAAAGATTTGTCAGGTTCTGAAACATTTTCAGGAATAATCATGTTGTCACATCTGTCATGAATAAACTGCTCATTGCTTATAGGACAGTCATGCCATTTTTGGGCCAGGACTGGAGATCCCCAGGATGGAGATGGATTAAAACGGAAGATGGCTGGAAACGATGTGAATCTTTCGATCCAGCGCTTGAAGATGAGAAGGCCCAACTTAGTGATATCAGTCACGCTATGTAAGTTTCAAGAGAGAATGACCAGTATTATTCCACCAAGGAAGTCAGGGGAGAGGTGTATAGGAGGGGTTGTGCTCAAAGGTGTAATTGTGATTTCTAGTCACGGTGTCTTTTTTTTGTGCTATATGCATTTTTGCCTGAATGCAGTAGAAATACCTAACTGTAATCAGTTGCCTTGGACAAAAAGTGCTAATCAACATTTTGAAAATATTTTTTTTAATGTACATAGGACACTTAAAGTCACATGTAATATGACAAATGTAGTCAGTGTTGATGATTAAGGGTTAGTAATGCTTTTCCACTAATTTCAAAAAGGTCATATTATCCCTTATAATGTAGCTATAACAAAATGAGGGAGTTAGTAAAATTGTTATTTTCCTAAAAAAATAATCTCTAACCAACTCCAGTTTTTGGGATGTCCATTTGCCCAATGATTTCATAAAAATGTTTATAAACTATTCAGGTTTACTTATTGCATATTTTAGAAATAAACGGTGAATGAGTACCTGAGTGTGATTCAGGCATGTCAGGGCGGGACTGAAAAGACTTGTCAATGACACTTAAGAAAATTGAGCCATGTCTAGCAAGTGTAACAAGTGAAAGTTGGTTTTATCTTTGTCCTGACTCACAGTACTCGTGTGCATTAAGTCAAGAGCAGTGATCTTGTCTTGATAGTCATGGCCCATCCTAAGAGCCCTACAGGTCAAAATGCATTCACAGTGTTGTGAGAAGCTTGTGGAACAGTCATCTGCATATGTCTGGTTTTAGCTACTATCATTTGCACTTCTTATTAGTATCAAATTCACCCTTGGGTACCATCAATAACTTCCTCCCTGCCCCTGTTTTAGCACCCAGGTTGCCACATAATGCCTTTGATCTTTATGCTAAGTCCATTGATGTCTGTGGGAAGTCTTAAGTGCCAAAAATATACATCTTCCTTTGTAATTCTTAAAGTAAACCTGATTCATGTGTTAGCTAGCTTGATATTGGAATGGAATAATATTTTTGGCAGATTTTAGTAAACTTCTGTGATCTAAATCTTTTTGCAGTTCTTGTCTTGATTTATTCCTGTTTGGTTCCATCCCCTGAAAGGTATTGCTTGTGATATGAGTTAATATATCTTTTGTTAGACCAGCTTTTATGGGGGATGAGATGCTGGACAAGCTTTTGGATGCACATTTGCCCGTCCTTGAGTCCAGGAGAGAAGTGGATAGAGCCTAAGCTGAATACTAGCAAGAACAACTATGTTCATTTAGCCCCATAATATAAACAAATGTGGTCACTTTTGTGCGGGCCGTCTCCAGATCCCATCCTCGTCGCCATGTGCGGGTGGCGGGGAGCGATCCGGGCCCTTTTTCGCGCCGCGTGGGCTGTGGCCAGCAGCCCGGGCACGCTGGGTCGGAGAGAACAGGCGACACACTGGAATTAGGCACGGACGTGAAATGGTTGATTCAAGATTGTTTACTTACACCGAAGATGGTCGCAGCGTAGGCTGGACAGTTTCCCAGGCACAGCTCCGCTTAAATCCTCGTTTGAGGACTCAGACAATATTCGATCACTCCCACGGAGTTGTCGAGGCTCCGTGGATCCTTTTGTTCACTCACAGTTCACTCACACAAAGTTTGCTAGGCTCTTTGGGTCCTTTTTTTTTTGTGCGCAGGGAGAGGGATACGTCGAGGTTTGCGCTCGGTGACGGGGAGAGGCTAGAGGCTGATCAGACCCCTGTTGCCTGCTTTAAATGCACTGGGTCCAATAGGTTCCGCAGCGCTTAGAGATCTTCACACAGCATGAAGTCTCTTCCTTCTGGTGTTCGTGGAGTCCTCCCTTACGGGGGTTCTCCTCGGAGTTCTCCAACTTGGGCGGAAACCACCCAAGCCTTTTATACGGCTAGCAAGCCAATCACTAGCCGCCACGTGTGAATAATTTAACGCAAGCCAATAATGGGACTCGAATTAGAATACGAATGGCGGGAACTCTTTGCACCGAGCATTTCTGTGCTGCAAAGAAGAAATGCACCCTGCAAAGAAAGCTACAATTTGGTGGGAAAATAATTCAGTGGGCCAAAGCGCACACAAAAACAAAAATCACACCCTTTGGGTTGTGACAACTTTATAATGGGAATGGGAAGTACACCTGCAGAACAAAAAGAAAAGTTCTAAAATAAGACCTCATGCTCTGCAAGTCTTCCAACATATTTCTTATACCATCTGGTACACAATAGTAGTGCCAAAAAGTAATTGTGGAGGTCAATGCTCTGTGCTAGGAATATCAGCTGAACTCACTTAATAGCATGTCATGGAGGCATCTAATATTCATGTTGTTAGTTCCCCGAGATGTGATAATTTTCAAAAGAGCCTTCTCGTGGCTCTGAAGGGAATTAATAAGCAAATGGGTTGTCTTGGTGTATTCGTACCTCCATTCTGGAAATTTGCAAATCACAGCCGAAACTAAGAAACAAAAGTGAAGTGTATGCATGGTGGGATGTACATTATGATTTAAATTTGTATTGAGACTCAACTCGGTTGATGTTGCAGACTGTGCTCTCTTTCTGTTCTTTGTACTGATCTGCCACTGACATCTTGCTTTTTCACATAGTCTTGCTAGTGTGGGTGTTTTAACAAAAAAAGGGAAATGGGGTAAAAAAAAAAATTGGGGGGGAATAGCTTCGCTTATCCAGAACAGTGTTCCATTAAACCTCCCTCTTCATTCTTGAATTCAAATACTTTGTGAAAAAAATTATCTTGACTGCATCTTGAAAAATACCGTTGAAGAAAAAGTAGATTCTGTGTTCAAAATGTTACATAAATCTTATAAGGACTTTCTATTACTTGACTTAATGTGTATTTTGCAATTCATATCATACTTATTACAACTTTCTGTTTTTGTAAGCATGCATTAAAATTCTCAGGAACTTTGTTCTGCTTATCTTAATTGTATATTTATATCTCTCTGTTTCCAGTATTGATACTCATGACTTAAAAGCTTTGTGTTTTTAAGTTTTGTTTAAAGTTGAGAACACTTCCTAATAATGACAACAATGATGATAATACATATATTGAGATATCAAATTTTATAAAACATTATATTAATATAAAAATCAATCAGATAAAGATGACAAGCACCAGCGACAGTAGGACCCAGGGGGAGCCGGCAGCAGGACCTAGCAGCTGCAGCAGCAAGGCCTGCCCACCCCAACTGGAAGCCTCTGCCTGACAGGCTTCTGGCCTGTGACCCTGGGGCTGTGCCCTACCTCCTTGTGCCCAAGAGGGAAAATCAGATAAGAACGCAGGGAGGGGAGGGGGAAGAGGGAGGCAGCACCACCTGGTTCCTGGCTGCATTGCCAGAGTGCAGGACTCATCATGGGACCTCCTGTTTCTCAGCCAGGTCTGTGCGGTGTGAGCTGGGTTGGCTCCTGCGGCATCCTGTGGTTTTAGGCATGCAATTGGGGCATGGTCCCAGAGTGGCAAGTGGGGGACAGGGAAATAGCAGAAGGGCAGCAGTGACACATGGGGATGAGGGGGTGGGGAGTGGTGGTGAGTAGGCACTCAGGGCCTATCCCAGTGCCCTGGGGCCAGGGGGGGCAAGAGAGAGAGAGGGGAGACTGCCCCCCTCCTCCTCCACACATGCTATAGCCCTCCCCAGCCACCCGCCCCTGCGCGCACACAGTCCCCCACAAACCCCTTACCCACACACACACCCACATGCTCCCCCCCCACAATATACAAGAGTAAGACTGTATTTTGAGCTATTATACAATTACCTCTATGTATTCTATGAAAACACAAGTAAATTAGGACAGAAATATTTTTTGAAATTAAATGAATTCATGGATTTCATGGACGTTAGGTCTGGAAGGGACCTTGAAGATCATCATGTCCAGCTCCCTGTCCCAGGGGCAGGAAGTCAGCTAGGGTCAAAGGACCCCAGCAAGATAAGCATCAAAGCATTTCTTGAATAAGTCCATAGAAGATGCCTGCACCACATCTGGAGGGAGTCTGTTCTTTACTGTCTGAGGCCCCAATACCTGAAATTTTTTTCTTATATCCAGCCTAAACAGTCTTATATCTAGACTACAACGGAATGCATGTTTTAGTAGATCAAGGTGGGCATAATGCGGCCAGCAGACCAGATGTGGGCCCGCGGGACCCTAAACATTTAGAAAATTAATATATATCTGCCCCTGGCTACCTGTCATGCAGCCCTCAATGGCTTGTCAAAACTCAGTAAGCGGCCCTCTGCCCCATATAATTGAATGCCCCTGTAGTAGACGTTTGATTTTTAGAATATAATTTGGTATTTTTATGGTTCTGAAATGGCAAACCCTTGCTGAAAGGTGTACTTCCAGGTGCAAGGTAAGGGACTTTTGGTGGTCAGGGGTTAGGGGGTGGAACTTCTGGTCCCAAGATGGTGACTAGAGGGTGGGGCACCTGTCAAGGGGTGGGGTTACCCTTGCAGCCCTCAACAACCTGCCAAAACTCAGTGAGCAACTCTCCAGCTGAAATAATTGCTCCTCCTGCTCTAGATTGTCTTGAAGTTAGTCTTTGACTTGACTATATACAAAATGTTCTATGAAATTAGATATTGTATTCTCCAAAACCAGATTTTTAAAAAAAAATCTAAACTCATGATATTTCTTCAGTATTTGCATGCAGTAGAGAATGTCCATTTCAGGAGAACATCCCACCCCCTCTTCCCCTTCCCCCAGCAGCTGGCAACCAGGTGTTCTCCCATTGTCATGTTTATCTGTCGTCATGTTTATCTGTCTTCTCTGGACACCTCCTGGGTGTTGGGCATCTCATACCACCAAAGACTTTTGAGACAGATAATGCTAATCAAGATCCATCTTGTCTCTTTCTGCATATAGCTAGGCCTAGCATAGCATAACCCTTCATTCTCTGTGCACACAGTAAAGGTAAACCAAGTCACATAGTATTATACCAGCATTAACAGTTAACATAGGAATATTAAAATAAAACCCAGTCTATTGCTCTCTTATATAG